GGGGATGTGTTGGCATGGTTTGTTTTAGATTGGTTGGTTTGGTTAACCAAGTGTTACTGTCCAGAATTTGATTGGTCGCTCGAGCGCAGAGTTTTGGTCGCTTCGAGCGAGGGTTGAGTTTTTGTGTCTGCTGGCTCGAGCCAGGGTTCTTTAACTCGAGCGAGCGTTTTGCGTTTCGTTTTAGACGCTGAGAGCAGTGTTTCTCTCGCTCGAGCGGGTGTTCTTCCGATCGAGCGAGGTTCCTTGTCTGGTCGCTCGAGCGACCACAATCTTCGCTTCGAGCGAGCCTGTCCAGTTAAAATAGCGAGCAAGCGGGTTCTTGATCAGTTTTTCATCCTTTTCTAGTTTCCAAACCCTAGGTCCGAACTTCTCTCTCTCTAACTCATCTTCTTCTCTAGGTTTCATCATCTTCTAGTGTGAATCCATCTTAAGTTCTTTGTAGAAAGATATGAGGGCGGCTTGGGCTGCATTCTAATCTGAAAATAGTGGATTTGGAGCACTTTGGCTTTGGGTCATCTTCTCATTTTTGTATCTTACGTTCAAGGTAGGGATTCTCCTTGTTTCTTTCAATACTCGTCTATGATAGCACCATGTGGTGTTTTTTGTATTGCATAAAAATGCAGATATCATGTTGGACTTGGTGAAAATCTTGGGAATGAACCTGGGGTTGGTTGTTGATTGGCGTTTATTATCATTAGTTGTGCGTTGGGACTAATTGGATTTTAATTGCATGTAGTTGTTGAAAGGAGAGAAACCAAATTTCTTTTATTTGAATTAATTAAATTAATTGAGGGGTTTTTGATCTTTGGGGAAAATGCTTAGGTATTTTGGTCTTAATTGGTTATTGTTGTTTGTTGATGTTAATTGGGCCTTTTTGGTCAATATGAGAAAGAGGAAGGAAAGACCCTAAATTATTGTTTATGACTTAAATGTGCATAATTAGTTTGAATGGCTTTGAAAAGAAGTAAGCCATTAAGAGTAGCTTTTGTTCCATGGAGATGATTTTGTGAAAACCAAAGAAGGGAGAATCTCATTTTGTGAAATGGGAAAGGTATTTTGAAAACAAGTATAAATTAAAATTGGAATGTTGTACTTGAGTATTGAACACACTTTTGTGGAGGTATGCTTTAACTACCATGTTCTGTTGTGCTGATGTTTTGTAATCTATGTAGTTTGGGTCTGTTAGTAGATGTATAATATGCGTGAATCTTGAGGATTTTGGTCATCAGTGGAGATTGATAGGTTGTGTTTTGGAATTGTTGTGTATATATTACACCATGTTGATCGAACATCATATGTAATGAAATGCTGGGAATTACATATATATTTGTATACCGGTTGGGGAGAAGAGAGGGGTTGTACTCCAGTGTGTGTTGAGAAGATAGGGATAGAGCTCACACACTTATTGTGTTCAGCGTCTGTTAATCAGAGGTATCATACCCTTCCAGAGCGCCTGGGAACTTGGACGCGCTGATAATCTAAGTACCATACCCTTTCCAGCTAGCGCCTGGTAAACTGGTAGATTTGTGTGAGAAGTTTATCTTTGTTATTTGTGAGTAGTTGCCAGTGTTGTTTGTTATTGTTTCAGTGTATCTGGAAACATGTGGATGTATTTGTTACCTGTGTTGGATAGGGACGAGTTGACTTCATTGATTGATTTCTAGTGTATGTGTTGAGTTGTATCTTTTCTTATAGAGGGTGCATGTGATAATTAATGATATAATGGAATGCATGTGAAATTGCCAAATAGTTTTTTGGAAAGCACAACTGTTGTATGTGTGAGCAAATGGAAGAGTAATGGGAGTTAGTGAATCATATATTTTTCTAGTAGTTGTTAAATGTTTGAAAGATTGGGAACGGGGTTAATGAAAGGAAAAGGCAGGGTAAAAATGCTTTGTATAGCTGGTGAATTAAATGATGTTTTTTCAAGAAAAGTTTAAATATTTCAGTATATATATTTTTGTATAACTGTCACATTATTATTCTAGTATGAGAATGGTGTGTTCATGATATAGTATCTGTAACGTTGTATTGTAAGGAGCATGCTTGGTTCCCTACTGGACTATATGTTCATCCCACGTGTGTTGAATCTTTTTCAGGTGGATTAGCAGGGTGTGCTACAAGATTGGTCATTTCTTATTTGATGGCACGGCCGGCCTCAGTTATGTTGCGGAATGCCATTGTTGTAAGGGTTACACCCTTCTTTTCTTGATACTTTTAATGATGTAAGCCAGGGGCAATTATTAATTTAGTTCATGTAATATTACTTTTAGCAGACGAATTGAGAGTATTGTTAATCACTTCTACAGATTGATGTATGGTTTTATTTCCGCATGTTATCTCTTTGAAATTGAATTAAGTAAAGAATTTGGTAATGACTCCGAGTAATAAAAGGTGGGGCGTGACATGAACCGTAACATGGCAAGCCATGGCTGATCCTTGCAGGGTTCATGGACTATGTGGACCCAACAGTAGTTGTAGTTATGGTTCTGGTTCCAATAGGGGGTGCTCTTGTCTGCCAAGGCATAAGATCAAGAATCAGAGTGATTGGTCTTATGGGTGTGAATTAGAACACAATCTTCCTGATAATGATCGCAAGGCTAGTTTTGTCGTGGTGGATCATATGGAATTGTATGGGTATGAGGATAATGTTTCTAAGAACTCCACCTTAGAGAGTTGCAACGAAATGTGTTTGCAAACATTGATATGCAAAGGGTTCTTGTTCAAATTTGAAAGTGGTGTCTATAACTGCTATGCCAAGTCACAACTACTCAATGGGAAACATTCCCAAAATTTACTTGGAACACTATGTCAAGCTAAATGTTTCTAAAAAAAGTGGTGTTTTTTCCTCAAATGCAGTACCTGTTAAAGAAATGAAATTGAATTGCTTGAGTTTGGGCAAGAACACTACACAATTGGATCGAGTTTATAAAAGGAACGATGGAAAAAAAGTTCTTGAATTTTTTGGTTTGGTTTGCCTGCGCAATAGGAGTTGTTGAGATACTATGTATACTTTTGATATCTTTTTTGGTACTTAAAAACCCCAACTATTCGGGTCTAGAAATGCAAGGCTATTTCCTCGGTGCAACGACATTTAAAAAATCCACTTATGCAGAAATGAAAAGGGCAACACGAGGTTTCAGTGAAGAGATTGGGAGAGGTGGTCATGGAGTTGTTTACAAAGGCATATTACCCGATCATCGAGTTGCAGCAATTAAGTGGTTCAACAAAGCTAACAAAGGAGAAGATGAATTTCTAACAGAGGTAAGCACCATTGGAAGGCTAAACCACATGAATTTGGTAGAGATGTGGGGATATTGCGCGGAGCGAAAGCACAGGCTTTTGGTTTACGAGTACATGGAACACGGATCATTGGAAAAAAATTTGTATTCCAATAAACTTGACTATGACAAGAGGTTCAACATCGCGGCTAGCATTGCAAAAGGCCTAGCTTATCTGCACGAAGAGTGTTTGGAATGGGTTCCGCATTGTGATGTGAAGCCTCAGAACATACTCTTGGACACAAATTACCAACCAAAGGTAGCAGATTTTGACCTATCCAAATTACTAAATAAGGGTGGTGGCCAAAATTCGAGTTTTTAGAAGATAAAGAGGAACAAGAGGCACTACAGGAAATCAGGGATTTAACGGTGTTTAATTAACGACGTTTTATTAAACGTCACTTTTTTTATTTTTAACGACGTTTTATAACCGTCGCATATTTGTTTAACCAAAATGGCACCGTTTTCTATTTAAAGGCGTTTAAAACCGCCTCCAAATGCGGTAGATATACGCGCCCCTTTTTTGAAACCCTTATTTTTTAATCTGAGCCCTCTCTCTCTTATACTCTCTTATCTTAGACGCAGACATCTCTCTCTCTCTCGCTCTCAGTGATGAAGAAGACGAAGGAGATAACTCTATGAAGAAGCTTCGTCTCTCGAAAGATAAATCGGCTGTTCTTGAAGAGAGCTTCAAAGAACACAAGCTCCACCGGCTGTTTAGAGAGATTTCGAAGCAATTTCAAAGATTTAGATCGATATCAATCGGCTGTTCAGAGCAATTTCGAAGATTCAGATCGATTTCGAGATTCAGAGCGATTTTGAAGCTCCGTCGCCACCGTCATTTGCACCGGCGAGGTAGCGAGCTCCATCGTCTCTCTCTCTAGATCTCATACTGATTGTACCTTTATAAGGGTTTTTGGCTCTGAGTTGGTTCAGAAGTATGTTGGTGAGGGCTCTTGAATGGTTAGAGAACTTTTTGTTATGGCCAGGTTTGTCCGACGTCATTGATAACATTGTTATTGCCAAAAAATTATGATATCTTGTATATCAGCTTAATAAATCTTTTTAGTCTACAGAAGTGTTATATAGTTCCTCTTACATGTTTTAACTTGCAGTATGTGATATTCTTTTTGGAGGACTTTCTCTTTTCTTTTCTTTTTCATATTTATTTTGGTTGCATTTATGCGAGTAAGGCTATCAGTTGATGAGACTAAAATGCTGTTTTGAACTGCTTTACCTGATCAAATTTGATTGGAAGACATATTGTTGAAGTTGTATTAACAACTTTATAGTTTGGGGATAAAAAAGTTAAGAACCCTGCATCTTGGACTGAGTTGTTCAATAATTTGTTAGGACTATTTAATAAACTTAGGTATCAATGATAATTTATTCTAAAACTAAAATGAAGAATAATGCAAAAATAGAAAATTTTGGACAACAATGGAACAAAATTTCAGACTATTTTTCTGACTGGTTTTTTCGATGTCTCTAAAAAAAAACAACCTCTACAGATTGCTGGAATATCAATTCTATTAATCTGAATTTTTGAATTTAAAATTTTTGAGATTCCTTTTGAGAATTTACTTTCTTGCCCATATGAATATGTATAAATGTTTATAATTTCAACTTTCTTTTTTTTTTTTGCTTTTTTAAAGGTACTCTTTGATTTTGAAACTGTGCGGTGGTTGAACCATGCGGTTGAAAAGATTTGGCCTGTTTGTATGGAGCCCATTGTTTCATAGAAAATTCTCCTCCCTATCATACCTTGGTTCTTGGAGAAGTACAAACCATGGACTGTGGTACGAGTCTACCCTCCTAAATATGATTAATTGCTGTCCTTGTTCCATTTTTTTGGTTCAAAATGCCTTCGTCTTTGAGGGATTCCCTATTCTACACGAACGGAAATTTTGTACAAAATTCGCATACAAATAATGCGGCTTTTTGGGGGTTATATTAATTTCAAACTAAAAAGCCCAATGTTATGACTTATAATTTGAAAAATGGCATTACTTACACCACATCATTTTGGATGAGTTTTATGTATGAAAATTGTGTTTTTAAATCATTTTTAATGTGTTGATGATTGGTTTTGAGAATTATTTGGGTATATACACAGAAAGACACTGTGGTTCAGCATCTGTATATGGGACGATCACCTCCTGTGTTCACAGAAATGAGGGTTCTTCATCAAACCACTGATGATGACCACTTGGTATGTAATATTGTCTTATTCATGGTGGATTCATGTCAATAATGTATTACTTCTAGTCATAATCTGTTTCGTAGCCAGAATAATAGTTGAAATTCATTAAATGCAGGTTTTGGAGTTGGGAATGAATTTTCGGACTGCAGATGATATGAGTGCAATACTTGCTGTGAAATTAAGTAAGAGATTGGGTTTTGGAATGCGGGCAAAGTTGCATTTGATGGGCATGCTTGTTGAAGGGAAGGTAATAAATTACTGTTAAATTTAAATTTTACTTTTACATCACACATCTATAATGAGTTATCCTTTGTTATACTGTTCTTAATTTCATGTTTTCTCCTTGCATCTGAAATGTGTAATCTGTAGAGTACAGAATCGATCTAGAATGTTTTGTAATGATTTTTAAAATTGGAATAGTTGTCATGTGCCATTGATTGTGAAAAAATGACTAATGCTTAGTAATTTCTTCAGACTAATGCTTTGTAAGCTGCTGTAAATTTATGGCATGGCAGATAAATTTTATTCATATTGGTTGGGTTTTTGTTCAGATGGCAGCATTTAACATTCAGGAGGCACTTATCTGGAAAGAGAAAATTGAACTTGTCATTGATCAGGTTTATTTTCTCGGACTGCATTTCCCCCTCCGCCTCCCCCTCCCCTCCATCAAAAAAAAA